AAACCGAACTAAAGTTAACGGGATCTAGCCCTATGGTCTTAGGTTTATGCAAATAAATACTAAAATTAAAGCATCAAATAACACAAAAAAGTACAAAGTGAAGTTTTAAAAAAAACCAGAATATGGTCAAGTCTAGAACTTTGTTCTTTGTCCTTGAGACGAAATTGCCTTTCGCAAGTACTCCAAGGTTCCAATGACAAACTTCTCCCAGGATGACCTGGTTGTTGTGATTCTAAAACTCCAAATCACAAGGACAATGAACCTAAATTGTGCCTGAATTATCTCAATTATAGACTCACTTTATCAAGCACACTTTCACTGAAAAAGGTTCTAACATGCAGTGAAAAAAAAAAGTACAAATCATTTAAAGACTCATAATTCGTTTAGAAAAACGTTCAACAAAATCCCAAGATCTCGTACATGAATTGAATAACACTTTCTCCATAAATTATTTTGTTGTTTATCTATTTGCTTAAGCATAAAAATGGGATCAGTGTTTATCTATTTGATGTCAGGATCACCGGCTAGGGCGCTTTCGGTGGCGGCCAGGGCAAGGACTAATATGATCAGCAACCGAGCAAGTCTCAAGACCATAGTTGATAAATATGGTTTAGATCTGAAACTAACTTGTGCTATATAATGCTGTGTTGGTATTTAATATCTATATATATAATGCTGTTGAAGTTTACTATATGCTTGCTCTATTTTCTTCTTCTTTGGTCTGATTGAAAAGGGAGCCAGAAACCAGCATTCGCATATGAGCTTGACTGAATTTCTAGTTAATTAACTACAAGATTAGCTTGACTGAATTTATCAACATGTATGAAAACGAGTGGAGTTGCCAATGGCTATAATTGACTTTCTTCTTAGTGTCTTCTTTCTCTACGGCTTTGTTTGGTGAGTTGGATTGGACTTGACATATGGCATTAAAATGGACATGAATCCAATCTATTGTTTGGTGGGCTTTAAGGCCCCATTTGGTGGGCTGGATTGGACAAGATTGGATTAGACTTTGTATTTTAGATTGGACTAGTTGGGATTGGACTAGACTTTGTGTTTGTTGTTTGGTGCTATACTTAACTTTGGACTGGACTAGAAAACATAATAATTTTGAAAATTTATATTTCTTTATTATATTTTTTTCAGTATATTTTCAAAAGAATAACAAATGAAATTAACGCACAAACAAAACTCAAGATATAAACGCCCATGCCATTTGTAACAGTCGTCATAGAGTCACTCTCAATATCAAGGGATCTAATGTTTTGTTTGTGCGTTAATTACATTTGTTATTCTTTTGAAAATATACTGAAAAAAATATAATAAAGAAATATAAATTTTCAAAATTATTATGTTTTCTAGTCCAGTCCAAAGTTAAGTATAGCACCAAACAACAAACACAAAGTCTAGTCCAATCCCAACTAGTCCAATCTAAAATACAAAGTCTAATCCAATCTTGTCCAATCCAGCCCACCAAATGGGGCCTTAAAGCCCACCAAACAATAGATTGGATTCATGTCCATTTTAATGCCATATGTCAAGTCCAATCCAACTCACCAAACAAAGCCGTAGAGAAAGAAGACACTAAGAAGAAAGTCAATTATAGCCATTGGCAACTCCACTCGTTTTCATACATGTTGATAAATTCAGTCAAGCTAATCTTGTAGTTAATTAACTAGAAATTCAGTCAAGCTCATATGCGAATGCTGGTTTCTGGCTCCCTTTTCAATCAGACCAAAGAAGAAGAAAATAGAGCAAGCATATAGTAAACTTCAACAGCATTATATATATAGATATTAAATACCAACACAGCATTATATAGCACAAGTTAGTTTCAGATCTAAACCATATTTATCAACTATGGTCTTGAGACTTGCTCGGTTGCTGATCATATTAGTCCTTGCCCTGGCCGCCACCGAAAGCGCCCTAGCCGGTGATCCTGACATCAAATAGATAAACACTGATCCCATTTTTATGCTTAAGCAAATAGATAAACAACAAAATAATTTATGGAGAAAGTGTTATTCAATTCATGTACGAGATCTTGGGATTTTGTTGAACGTTTTTCTAAACGAATTATGAGTCTTTAAATGATTTGTACTTTTTTTTTTCACTGCATGTTAGAACCTTTTTCAGTGAAAGTGTGCTTGATAAAGTGAGTCTATAATTGAGATAATTCAGGCACAATTTAGGTTCATTGTCCTTGTGATTTGGAGTTTTAGAATCACAACAACCAGGTCATCCTGGGAGAAGTTTGTCATTGGAACCTTGGAGTACTTGCGAAAGGCAATTTCGTCTCAAGGACAAAGAAC